TCTCTCTCCATCCATCATGTCTGTTTCCTCAGACCAACTCAGAGGAGACCAACGTGGACTTGCCCACTCCATCAACTAAAAGGTAAGCATATTTATTTCAGGTAACGACCTGTTTGTTGGAAAACAGATGTAGTGGAATAGCAAGCTGTGAGAATCAACGAATAAAGTGGAAATGGCTCATCTTATTGTGATCTGAAAGAGATGTTTTAAAAATATAAGTTTTTTTAAAATAACTATCTTTTGAATTTGAAGTGAGCGAAACATTTTCTTCACCAAACAACTCTAAATTCGAAAGCAACAATTTTATCAGCATAATGACAACAACATTATTCTTCTCTGACAAACTTGTTTTGTTGGAATGACCTTCAGAGCAAATGAATTATTTGCTGAAGTTAGTCTGAGTCACAAACATTTCTCATTGTGCATTTTAGTGAGGAGAGCTGGGACATGGTAGAGGAGGAGACAGAGGACAGGGACTGGCCAGAGCTGCTGAGTGACACTTCGGTGGTTGGAGGCGCTGGGCACGGGGCAGGAATGCCCAGGCTGAAGAGGGGTCAGGGTAGCAGGCACCTCGGTGTGGACATGGCCTTTAACCCTGATGATGAAGAAGGCGCCGAGCAACGCAACAAATATTTCACCTCTTCAGGTAACTGAAGCAAACAGGCTGCAGTATTAAATCAAACGTTCTGAAACACTGAATTTAGCTTTCTTAAAAAAAACTACATTCATAAATGGACAACAGATCGTTAGAAATTGTATGCAGTGTCTCATAATGGCCTGAGCTAAATGTGATGAAAGCAGATTTTCACTTGATGAATGTTGTGGAATTAAATGTACAGCAATATCTGCAGAAAATCTAAAGAAAGACAAACCATAAGGCTATAAAAGCAAATATTGCATTAAAAACTATAGTAGAAATGTCAGATTCATCTTTTTTGTTTTTCATTTCTTTTTAGGAAAATAAACTACACACAAAATGCACAATAAATAATCATTCAGTTATTTATTTTCATATAGTCTAACTGTTTTTGGACAGTAAGTTATTTTGGTGGTTTGTCTTTGTATCACACCACAGTGGATTTTATGCCCAAAAAATGAAGATGTGATTGAACTGCGGACTTTCAGTTTGAATTCAAGCGATTTAGGAAAAGTAATGCAATAGGGTTTTTTTTTAAGAAATTAGAATATGCTTTTAAAACACAAGGAGTCACTCACATGTACTGTACCAGTGTACCTGCACATGTGATGTGACAATAAAAGTGATTTGATTTGATTTGAGTGTTTTTGATTGTTGAATAAAAGCATTTTAGTTGACATCAAGAATCAGTGGACATCACCAAATGCTGTACAGTGGTCCCTCATTTATCGTGGGAGTTACGCTCTAAAAATAACCCGTGATAGATGAAATTAAAGTAGCCAACTTTATTTTTTACAATTATTATAGATGTTTTAAGGCTGTAAAATCCCTCACTACACACTTTAGATCAGCGGTCCCCAACCTTTTTTGCGCCACGGACCGGTTTATGCCCGACATTATTTTCACGGACCGGCCTTTAAGGTGTTGCTGATAAATACAACAAAATAAAACTAGTACTGGTACCGAAAAAAAGAAGATTTATTCATAACACACGTGAAAAGACCCAGGAAAACCGAGTTAACGATAAAAACGATAACAAAATAACGCTGAAAACCGATAAAAACCCTGAAAACCATACATTTCACACCGGAGGCCCGGGGGTTGGGGACCGCTGCTTTAGACAGTTTTCTCAGACAGGCATGAACATTTTCACACTTTTCTCTCTTGTTTAAACTCTCTCGAAGTTCAAACCTTCATAGAAAAATAAGTCCAGTATTATAGAATGAAAACAAAGATCAAACCCTGTTTTCAGGTCCAGAACATGAGAATAGAGCAGCTGCCAGAGAATTCAACATTAATGAATCAATGGTACAGACGTAGAGGAAGCAAGAAGAATGAGTTCAGTAAAGTTTGACTTATTTGACTGTTTTGTTTCTCTTAATGTGCCTTCTGGTCCGAAAAATACGGTAACTTCTATCTTTCTTCAGCGTGTCCAGAAGTCCAACTTTTTGTGCGATGGTTAGCATCTTCCTCTGCCTTCTGGGTGCTACCACAGGTGCCTTTGATGGTGCAAAATGTTTCGTCGACATTGTTGTTTGTTGGGGAGAAAACTTACAAACATACAGTACAGCACTTCAGAGTCACACTGCTAGGGATCGAAGATTTATGTAAATTTGACAAGCTGAACACATTCTGTACTGTACAGGTGACACGGCACGGAGGAGATTAATTGACAATGGTCCACAGCCAAACAGGATGCAGAACACAATGCGCTGTTAAAAAAAAACAACAACCCAAAAACATGCAAAATTCCACAAAAAGAAATCTGCGAAACAGCGAGGCCACGAAAAGTGAACCGCGTTATAGCGAGGGACTGTACTTCCTCCACTGTGATGCTCTGCCGGGGTTTTACTGCAGCCACCTAGACAAAATTAGAGAAGCAAGGCTAAGATTTGGACATGTACAGAGGAGGGACAGTGGATATACTAGAAAAATGTGTGTGTATGATGTATGAATATGGAGCTGCCAAACAAGGGGAAAAGAGGCCTCAGGAGAAGCATATGAAGAGGTTTGGTGCAACAAAGGAGGATCATACAGACCCTAAAGGAAGTAGAAACATTACATTTCAACATTACACTGAAAAACTACAAAATACCAATTCAATGCTTTGAATCAGCTTCAGATATTGATATTCTGCTTGATTTGTCATGAAATAACAAGAAAACAGGCCATGAAACTGCTTCTTTTTGACTCTTTAAAAATGGGGTTCAGTTTGTAAAAATTGCTGTAATTCCTGAATAGTTCATGCAAATCTTCTTTAAAGCCCCTTGAATTAAAGATTAAAGTCACTTCAATCACAAGAGAGCAGAGAGGCAGAATTACACAAATTGTGTCTGTAATCATAGAGCGCATCTTCAGTAGCGGTTTTCTGTCATAGCTTAGTAGTCGGATCGGTTATGACCATATTAATAACTGAGAAAAGTTAACACGTTACATTTCAGAAACCCCAGAAAGACATGGCAGCGAGTTCATTTAGTGAATGAATTTAATGAATGTATATGATAATCCAGTTTCACACTGTCTTCTTATAGATGAAGATCTGATCAAGCACATACTGGCAGACGGACAGAACTTCTTTCCTCAGGCAGATGAAAGCGAGATGGCTGACCTGTAAGTTATATTCTGGACAAGGAATTCCCCAGAATCATTTGAGACCTGCGTAGATTCGCTTGATTTTGTGTTGCCACTGTTTGTGTTGCAGGTCGAGCATTTTTGAAGATAAGACTGAAGTGATTCTCCTGACAAAGCTGAATGACCCTCTTCTTCTGGAATCTGTGAGGCGGGACCCGCCAAAGACAGCCTTCACCTCAAACACAGGTGTGTGTGCAGGCAGTTTGAATTATCTAGTAAAATTCAAAATTTGAGGCCTGTACTGATTAAACTTAGAATTACAATTAGGAATGCACTAAACAGTCTCACCACATTTTAAAGATTCATAGTTTATTCAGAAAATTATTCTCAAAATTAAATATTTTATTTGTCAAACACTGACTTGTAAAATAGAAATTAAGAGAAGGCAGACTTTTATAATAAATAGTACTACAGCCCAGGGCAAAAATATGCAGATTTGATTTGAACTGTCCCTTTAAAAGACCATCCAGATGTTATTTGCCCCCATAGATTTTCTATTTTTAAAGTGTCCTGCTGTCTCTTTGTTTAGATTAGTGAGCGAGGACACATAAATCACCTAGCCAAGGGTTTTAGAAGGCTTATAACTCTCATTAGGTAAAGCAAAGTTTGGTGATTACTCTTAAAAAGAAAAAAGGCTGTTACTTTCACAGAGTAATTAGTCTTGTACTGCCAGATGTGTGACTGAGCCTTTATA